TGCACGTTCGCTGGCGTCGCCAGATCGGCCGCACGTGGAAAGTGGGGGTGGCGCAGAAGATCCGCGAGGCCCAACCGCGGCGCCCGCCTGTGGCTCGGGACCTTTCGGCACTGCCCTCGGAGGCCGCCATGGCCTTTAACGACGCGGCCGCCAAGAAACCCTTATACGGCCGACTGCGCCCCCCTCAACCTCGTCCCCCTCCCCAGCCCGCGGAAACCAGCACAGAAGCCGCCGCCGGGCCCGGCGGCCGGAGGCGAGCCCAACGTGTCGCCTCAGCCAGTGGCCCGGACGTGGGACCAGCCTGTCCGCGTACCTCGCACGCGGAGCCGGGCGCGACCCCGCGCTCGACGACCCGGAGAGGCCGGTGTAGCGGCTGAGGGCGGGGCTGCCGCAAGGGCGGAGGACTTCGGCTGAGGTGGCGTTCATGAGATCCCTGCATCGCCGACGAGCTCTGCGTTCGCCTGGCGGTGCAGGAGGCATGGATGACTTTGAGGCGTTTCAGTGGTTCACTGGCTCATGGCACTTTTGAAGAGATGTACGAGTTGTAGCACTGCAATGTCCAATGCGCGTGTCTACGCGCGTCGTCTATAGATATATAATTAAGGTGAATATGTGCTTGTATTAGAGGGCACATATAGCGTTACTTACTATAAAAGCTAGAGATACAGAAGAATAAGACAAGTGCTACAGAGCATACTTGTATAGTACTCCCCCCCTCCCCCCCCCTCTATGTCCAATGCGCGTGTCTACGCGCGTCGTCTATAGATATATAATTAAGGTGAATATGTGCTTGTATTAGAGGGCACATATAGCGTTACTTACTATAAAAGCTAGAGATACAGAAGAATAAGACAAGTGCTACAGAGCATACTTGTATAGTACTCCCCCCCTCCCCCACAAACAGAGCTCAGCACTGCCTTCTAGCTCCTCCGGAGGAGATCGATGATGGGGGTTTCACTCTGAGCAACAAACAGAGCTCAGCACTGGCTTCTAGCTCCTCCGGAGGAGATGACGGAATATCGTTTAATTATTTGTTTGTACGTATTGTCGCTTTGCAGCAAACTGGTGGTTGGGGGTGAGTCCTTTCCTTGGGCTTATACAACGTATTTGGAGCTAAATACTATCTAATTTCGAACAGATCTTCCCATTTATTTATTATTATTTACTAAGGATTATTATTCTTTTTTATCTGTGGGAATAAATTATAAAGGATGGAGGTTGGTTGTTGGTGGAATGATGTTAAAGTACTGCATTGGGTTATAAGTTATGTTGCATGGGTAATTTCTCCTGTAAAGCCGTCCTATTCCTACTTCGATCCCGTTGACAGATGCACAAAATTATTTCAAACATATACTCGATTGTATAAAATTTTTGAATTAAAACAAAAACATTCATCGGATACTTTTTGGACACATATCCTATATTTTACATTCATTTCCTGAAACTTATTGGGCATTATTTGGGCACGGATGTGCTCCGTTCCATCCCATATACAATACAAAACTATGATTTTCAAGGATCTTTCGGAAAAAAATGTTTTAATTTACAATATACATAATAAAAGGAAACGTAACCAAAACATAAAAAAAATGCCATAAAATATTTTATATCTGACGACATGTCAATGGGAAAACAAATATTGACCCCATTTTAAAATCATTAATTATAATACATATCAATATAGATAGATAGCTATATCTGTTTACCCTATCTTTTACAAAATTGACATGTCCCTTATTCATACCCGTACTCGTGGCTGTAACATACCTACAACAGTGTTTACAAAGTTACTGAGTTAGCTCAGCGGTGTTAGATCGAGTCTCAGGTTCAAAAATCACACCGCAGATCGACTTTTTACAGAATAAACTTTGATTAAACTGAAAGTACAGGTGATGACGATAAGTTGATGATGCTAGGATATAGCATGTAAGATGACGTTTACTCTTTTCACAATATTACCTAAGATACTACATTTTTCCACAATAATAACTCAGCGTTCATTCCAAATTTTAAGATTAAACAGAAACTAACGAAACACCCCTTATTTCTGCAATTATGTTAACAAAATCCTATATTTCTCTAGCTTTGCTTTAAAAGGAAGGCTAAAATAGCTAGGTCATAACTTGAACTTGAACCTGGACTTTGCATAATCCAACCCTTGCTTCTACAATCAAGTCATCTTCACCACTACGGCTGGTGACTTTTAACATGACTGTCAAGGCCCCTGGTAACCAGTAACGAAAACAACAATTGAGTAAATATCTAGTAAATATAGGATCATAACATGTCTAGTCTTCTAGATGTGAGCCAAAACTTAGCATTAAATGCGGCCTTAATCCTCCAACAGAAATTTGGATGATGGCACTTATTTTGCGCATGAAACATTCAGCCGCTAATGAAACGTAAAACGAATGGAATAATTATCTAAACAACACTTCATTTTATCATAATACCTCATGAAAAAGTGCAGAAATTGGTTTCCAGATTCACATATAACAATAGCTGATGAAATTTGAGAGTAAATAAGTGTAATCAATCTCGAACGAGGACAACGATAGGATATATCTAAACCACTAAAAGAGTGAGGGCGAAAATTACGAGTACCTCGAGTTAGTGTTACTTCTCCGTGAGTATTTCATCAATGTGTCCACGACTCCATTCTCATTATAAGCTTCCACAATTTTCTTCGCATGCAAGGAGAAGTTTCTGACGGCTCTAAAAATTAAAATCACTAAATCAAAGAAATTTATACCACTCCATATTGTTGTAGCTTGGAAACATAACAATAGGATTTTGTTTCTCATTATCTTTGATTCCCCTATTTTAAGTTTACATACATGTAGTATAGTCTGGTAATCTAAACAATAATATGTGAAATATTTTTTCTTTCAAAAAAGCCACCAACAATATGATTGTGCTAAAAATAATTGAATCTCACAATAGTAAGCAATAGAAAGATACCTTAATTACACAAAGATTAATGGCTTACATATAAATCCTTGCTGACAAGTGTTTCATCTAATTTATGAACTTATGGCGAGAATATATCTTTTGATAGAGTTTGATATTATCCATGATAATTTTTGAAGTTCAAGAACGAAAGTCCAAAATGTTATCTTATGTAGATCAACATGACAATGTAGGCATTTAACTCTAAATGCTCAGGTTTCCTCTACTTTGTCATTAGGAAACATATAGTGCTGCATTTAAATGGCATTTTCATGGTATATAGCAAAAGCGTAGAATAGAAAAATGCAGTGCCAACAAAAAAATTTAGTTATCTCAACTAGAAAAAGGTGTCAATGTTAGGATATAATGTTGGCTTAACACATTTTTGCCGCAAAAAAAATGTCATCTGGTTGTCCTATTGCAAAGTAAGTGGTCATGAAGCTTTTGAGAGTTACTGCTTATGGTTACAGTGCATAGATATACACTATGTTAGTAGAATGCGTGTGTATATGTGTACAGATATGAAATAGTACTGTACAAAGAGTATATGCCGTCATTTTAGAGGGTACATGAGGTAATTTGCTAGACATACAGAAGAGTAAGGCTTGAAGATTGCCATTTATACTCTCCAGTCTTCCCTTATACTGCTGTGTGCAGTATAAAATTAAATTTATTCCTTTAATTGTTTAAATAAATCTCTTGTGTAAACTGTGACATAAATTAACATCAAGCCACTCAGTGATTCCAGGGCGATGCTATATGAATTTGAGAGATTGAATCAAGATGGGAAATGAGTAATTCAGAGAAGAGATTAATGGGTATCCTTGTCATAGGAGGAGATTTCCCTCCTTGTCGCCTATGTGGCACAATCCCCACCATCCTCATAAAGTAGGCACAAATCCCAACCAACTCACACTCTCTCTCCTACTTTATGAGGATCGTGGTGATTGTGCCACATAGGCGTCAAGGAGGAAATCCCCTCCTATGACAATGATACTCATTAATCTCTTCAGAGAAATGCTATATGAACGTGAGAGATTGAATCAAGATCAGATATATCCACTGGTGGTTTTCCTCTGACTCTCTGAGCAACAAACAAATCTCAGCACCGCCCCTGGGTTCTCCGGAAGAAGATTACAGAAAATGCTTTGATTATTTGTCGGTAATTTTCGTCGTTTTCCAGCAAACTTGCGGTCGAGGATGAGCCATTGGGTTTATATACCTTGGCTTTTTATCATGGATTTGAAGCTAAAAGCTACTATTCATTCAAAAGGAAAGATAAATTCTGTTTTGCAAATGAAAACAATTATGATGACGATAATGTTGATGATGATAGTATATAGCATATGAACATTTACTCTTCACGATATTACATAAGATCCTATATTTTTCTATTTTCCTTCAAAAGGAAGGTTATAATAACAAAGTCATAGCTTCTAATTGTCAAAATGTTGGTACTAGCAATAGGCAATAAGTAAATATCTAGTAATCTTATCTAGATATGGGCCAAAAAGGAATTTTGGATGATAATACTTATTTTCTGCAGTAAAACATTAACGAGCTAATGAAACATCCCTTTTTCTAATCAGGAAAAAAAAGGACAACTATCTACCTAATACCAAATACAACAATAACTGCTGTCTCTTAGCCTAACATTAACTGCTGAGATTTGAGGGAACAGGAATGTAATCTACAAACCATAAATGATGACTATGATATGATGTAGGGAACAGATCAAGATTACCTCAAATTAGAAGTCAATTTTCCTTGAGCATTTCATCAGTCCACCTTTTCTCATTACAAGTTGCCATAATTTTCTTTGCAAAGGAGGGGAAGTGTTTGTCAGCTCTGTCGAATTAAAAGTCAAAAAAAAAAAATCAGAGGATTTACAGAGTTCATACTGCAGCAGATTGCAGAATAACATTAGAGTCTCCCAATGTCTTTATTATATCCAAATTTCATACGAGTAATTCCTCATAGCATGGTAATCTAAAGAAGAGCGTGAACGAGTTCTTTTTTTGCTAAGAAAAATCAGCAATTATACGATTACCAAAAGTTACCGAATTTGGCAATGGCAAGCGATATGGAAATAGCTTACACAAAGACTAATAGCTTATATATAGATCCTAGCTCATACTGTTTCTTCTAATTTATGAAACTAAAGAAAGAATTCTCTTTTCCGAACTGTGCATAGTAAAAAGATACCAAGGGTCTAATTTATGTCTCAAGATGTAGTAGTTGAATATAGCATGTTCATACATAAATAGATGTTATACATCCCAACATAGTCATTTAACATTAGATACTCAGTATTCCTCTGCTATGTGCTCGGGAAACATACAGTGCTGCATTGAGATGTTATTTTCATGATCGATATTAAACAAACAAAATGTAGAGGAGAAAATTGCAGCAACTAGAAAGAAGATAAGTCACCTCTTGATGGGGGATGTCAAGGTCAGGAGATATGTTGGCTTACCACTTTTTGCTGCAAAAATTTCTGTGTCTTATTGCAAAGGAGATGCATCAGTCAGGCAATGCCAAATAACAACTAAAACTG